GGCGGCAGACCCGGCACCGGCGGACCCCCCGGCATCGGCGGTTGCACAGGCACTTGCAGAGGCGGTCTCACCGGCGGCTGCACAGGTACCTGCTGCGCGGGAACTCCCGGTGCTTGCAGCGGAGGTCCCATCAGTGGTTGAGCAGGCATCGGCGGCGCGGGAAATCCCGGTGCAGGAGCAACTTGTTGCTGCGCGGCGTGTGCGTCAAGGAAATTAGCCATTCTAACGTCCATCATTCCCGGCAGACCTTCCATCACATCCTGGAATGCCCGCATTAAGTCTCTCACCGAGTCTTCCAGTTCTGCTAGTCGTTCCCCGGTAGTTTCCTCCGGGATGGGGTCCCGAGGTCGATAGTCCGGGGGTGGGTCATAGTCCTCTTCCGTTTGGAAGGCTCCGGTGCCCTCCTCATCTTCTGCGTGGCCTCGCGGCCCCGATGGCTCGAACATCCACTCCTCGAGGTCTTGCTTGGAACTCCCCTTCTCCGAGGTAGTCCCCGGCTCCGGGAACAATCCCTTGTCAAACAGACTCTCACGTAATCCGCTCCCCCGACGGGAGTACACCTCTCGGGTGCCCTGAGTGTTGTACATAGTCCAGTCATCCTGCTGTTGAGTCTTCCGCGGACCCCAGTGCGAAGGGGTCGGAGGCGGCCAAGACAGATGTGCAGGCAGGCGGGGAATCGTTCCCCCCACGGCACCCTCCACCGAGGCTGCAGTCGTGAACACCAAAGGAGCGGAGGTATGTGGGACCGATCCTGAGTCCCCCTCCGTGTTAAGTAGGTTTCCCTCAGTTCCGCTCATGATCTTGCCAGATTCGGAACGATAGGAGAAAGAGAGTTCTAACAATATGTTGGATCCCCAAGCATCGAGAATAAATCCACGTTTTCAAGAAAAGCAAAATTTATTTCAAAGCGTTGAAGACATACTCAAACACGTTCTTTGTTAGAACTGGGGATACACAGTTAGGTCAAGCATAATAAAGGAAATTCAAACAGATACAGATCCAATGAATAGAATTCCCGCTGGCGGGCTAATGAAACGGTTGCGCGCCCAGTCCATGGGAACCAGGCAGAACATCAGACAAAACACAGGTGCAGTACTCATGAGAAAAGCAATAGGCAAGCATTACAGCATCTTCTCCCCCACACAACCTCCAGCAGTTATCTTGTGCATTCCAACGCAGGAGCAGGATGATAGAAAACAAGCCGGGTGCAACAGGGAAAGGATATGTACACAGAGGTCACAGAAAACAGAATGGCAGCTTGCTGACACTTCCCTCCTTTGTGAGAACTGTTAATTGATTCCTACTCTTTGCTTTCTGTCATTTAACCAATTTTAATCCGTAAGAGAACCTGTCCACTTATCCCAGGAATATTAAGTTTACTCAGGAGTCTTTGATGAAGTACCTTATCAAAAGCCTGTTGAAAGTCCAAGTATATAATGTCTACCAAGCCACCGTTGTCTACTTGCTTGAATAGCCTTCCAGAGAATGGATACGGAATCTCTGTATACCAACATCCCACGCAAAGATGAATTACAAGCAATAAGGAATATGATTTTTGACAACACCACAGCTGACTTTGTCACCAAAATGTGCCATTTTGTTCTCATCCATAACCATTTCAAATCTGGTGACAACTTGTTCCTTCAGTTCAATGGTACAGCTATGAGTACCCGCATGGCCCCACAGTATGCTAACATTTTTATGGCCAACTTGGAGCTAAACTCCTACCCACTTACACCTCTCTTATACCTGCAAAGAACTTCCTGAAAGAGTGGTTCCTCAGTGGAATAGGCTTCCTTGGGAGGTGGTGGGCTCTCCTTTTTTGGAGGTTTTTAAACAGAGGCTAGATGGCCATCTGACAACAATGCTGATTCTGTGAACTTAGGCAGATCATGAGAGGGAGGGGTTGCATCAGTGCTTCATTCTCATGGCCCATTCTTACATACCCAGGGAAATGCTGATCACCACTTTGGGGTCAGAAAGCATTTTTTCTCCAGGCCAATTTGGCCAGTGATCCTGGAGGTTTTTTACCATCTTCTGGGCGTGGAGCAGGGCCATTGGGTGTGTGTGTGAGGGGGAGCATTTGTGCATTTCATGCATTGTGCAGGGGGTTGGACTAGATAACCCTGGAGATCCCTTCCAACTCTATGATTCTGTGATACACTGATGAAATTTTTATTGTCTGGACATATTCCACCAGGAATTCAACAACTTTCACACCACCATCAACCTGACAATGAACCAATCTATGCAAAAAATACATTTTCTGGACACTACTGTAAAATTACACAATGGACGCATAGACACCACTCTATACCAGCTAACGGACCATCACTATTTTCTCTCCATGTGACCACCATTTTAATATTATGATGATGTTTTCAATTTTAATGTTATCATATTAACTAATATATTTTGTATACATGATATGTTGTTACCCACCCTGAGCCCGCTTCTGGGAAGGGCGGGCTATAAATGTGAAGAAATAAAATAAATAAATAAATACCAGAAACCTAGGCTGTGTTAAGACTGGCAATTTGAAGCGCTAGGAAGTCGTGGCAAAGAAAAAACAGAACAGACTCGGAACGGCTTGCTTGCGGTATTTCCATTCACACCGCAGCAAATGAAGCAGGAGGATACCATGGAGGAAGCACAACGGCGTGTTCACATTGTTGGGCCGCCCTGGCGGGCTGTTAGTGGCTCTTTCCACGCTGGGCTGCATGCGCCCTAACCCTAACCCTATTATAAATTACTGCGGGTTGTTCCCGCTTTAGCAGCGCTTGTGTTCACACTCAGGGAACTGGAATCAACCCGCTCTACACACGGTTCACTACCACTTTCACCTGGTAGCTTTTAAACTCGGGAGGGAAGCGGCACAAGACGGCTTGAGTACGGCTGGGGGACGCCTGACAGATGTGCCTGTGTGAACCTGCCCCTTTAATCCGCTACTGAACCGCAAAAAAAAAGCTCCTGAAACGTTTGCCTGCTGAGCCAAAGTGCCAGTCTGACCTCGGCCCTACTGACCGACAAACGTATCTACATGTCTCCAGCTACCATCCTAACCCTAACCAAATGATCCACTGTATACAGCCAAGCCCTACACTACAGCCACATCTGCTCCAATCCTACAGACAGAGTTTCTCACCTGAGGAATCTACAACAAACCTTTTTGGAACTAAAGTATCCTCCTGTCCTGATGAAGTCAAGAAACAGATTAACAAAATCAGAATGGTACCCAGAGAAAACCTGTTGCAAGACAGGCCCCAAAGAGAGAATAACAGAACACCACTAGTGGCCACATGCAGCTCTCAACACAAAACACTCCCACTCATCATCAGTGACTTAAAACCTCTACTGGATAAAGACAGTTCTCTTTCACGAGTACTGGGGGGGGCCCCGCAAACCTTTTCTTGCACATAGACAGCCCCCCAATCCAAACAACTCCTCACCCACAATAATACAACATCTAATTTGGACATGGCTTTAGCCGTCAGATCCATCTCCATCCCCATGCCAAAGATCAGATCCAGTGTGGGGCCTGATACAACCTGGGAGAGTCCCAGTGCTGCCAGGGAGGACACCAGGCCCAAAGCCTGCAGAGAGGGCAGCAGCATCGGCGTGGATGTGGAAGCCCCCCAGCATGGTCCGTCTCGGGAATGCCACGGCCCAGCCCGCTACCGCTTCCTGCAGGCTTCGCGGGCTGTCTACTGGGGCATTAGGCAAGCAGCACGCCAGGCAGACAGCCAAATGCTCCTCAGAATCCCAGACAAGACCCAATCAGTACCGGTGGTTTTTAGAACGGGGGTGCCCTGAAGGAAAAATCCTCTCGGATGAGTATCGCTAGCCCTCCCCCCCCCGCCCCTCAGTTTGAGACTGATGGAGGACCGAGAAACCTGGTGGGGTCAGCTTTTGATTTGCCCTCCCTTGCTCAGGTCTCAGTCACGCATGCCAGGTCCACATCTTGCGCGGCAATGTAATTTTGCAGCATCACAGTCTTATTATTGATGGACCTGGGATTGCAAAACATCCGTGTCGAAGGGGGTTATATCTTCCTAGCCCTCTCACCAACCTGTCTCAGGGTAGGATAAAAGTTTGAAGGAGACCAAGCATGACCATATTCCCATCTCATGTAAGTGTAAGAACATAAGTGTTTTCTTTGGTATGATATGTACTCGTCATCTTTTTATAATAAGTATTACAGAGTAGTTTTTTTTTAAAAAGCGTTCCTGGGCTCTGACAGTGGTTTTGGAGCCTGCTTGCCAAAGACAAGGGCGTCAGCGCCACAGATGGCATTTAAGCCCATTTTTCAAGCGGAGGCTGGTGCTTCTCAGGGGGAGGTGATTGAGCCTCTGTGGCTTTTGCCTGAAAGGCAGCTTTAAGACGGGAGTAAAATGCCGATACATGTCACAGGCCATGGTGCTATGCGACTCTCCCAAACAGAATAAATAGAATGAGTTTTCATCAGACTGGGCCTTTTTGGAGCCTCAGTCCACACAAGCAAAGAGAAGTCTAAGGGGAGAGCACTCCCCCCATCGCGTACCAGCTGGTACAGGGAATGCCAGTTCCAGATGGGACTGGGGGAAGAGCACTCTAGAGGCGTAGAAAGCTCTGAAGTCTCACAGAAATCCTCTCCACAGCTGGCCTGCACATGTTTAGACTGCACAGAAGTCACAAAGACAAACCTCCAGTTACCACAGTGAAAACAAATCAAAAGGGAAATGCACAAGCAAGTTGCCTGTTCTATTAAAAAGGTTAAACTGCTGAAGAACTGAACCAAACAACTTCTGCAGGGAGATTATGAGCAGGGCACGGTGGATTGGCCCCAGAGCTGCAACAGGAGAGCAGAAGAGAAGCAGAGTACTTACATCCCTCATGCTGTGGTGAGCCACGCTGCGGTCCACGCTGTGGGATGGGAGACTGGTGGTGGCTTTCAGAATCGCCTCCTTATCTGGAGCTTTCTGTTCCAGCTTCCGCTAAATGAAATGAGATATCTGTTCAAAACATGCCATGTGTTATGCACAGAAAGGTACCTTCCTTATGTAGTAACTGGATAGATTCACTAATAACCCAAGTTAAGTGTGGAACTACCACAGTAACATTTTAGCAGTCCTGGATCTAGAGGTGCAATGGTCCCCAAAGTGCCTAAGCCTAAAACAAATACATTGGCAACTGGGGGCAAAACTGAAAACCACTGTAAAATACTGGCTGATTTCCCACCAGCTGCTGTGCAGCCGCATTTTGCCCCGGAGCTTCGCACGATTTTCCCCGCATCTACTCAATCCTCAAAAACCAGGATTGAGTAGACGCGGGGAAAATCGCGCGAAGCTCCGGGGCAAAATGCGGCTGCACAGCAGCTGGTGGGAAATCAGCCACTGTTAAAGCCAATTTGTATTGCAGCAAATCTTAGATCAATGCACTGGACTTCCTGAGAGGTTCCCTTCTGGTCAGCAAGCACACAAACCTCCAACACGAAAGGAAATTGGCAACCCTTCTGGATACAAGAATTTTTAGGACTAAACTGCAGCAAAAAAAGAAGGTAATCTGATCTCTAACAAACTTTAAAAAAACGGTATTATCTTAAGGGGGTGGAATGGAGACATGCAGAAAAACAGGGCAGAAGGGAGTTAAACAATGTCACTAATTACATCTGTAATTAATTACACTGGGTCACTGCACTAGGTATAAATACACAAGATAACTGATACATTTTCTCTCTAGCTCTCCCCCAATGAGAAATCAATGGATTGGTGGGTCTGCCTGCAGCCCTGTTCAGTAACCAAAAGGCAACCCTTCCCCATTCAAAGCATGCAGGCAAGTGGGCAAAAGGAGGAAGCTGGACTCTTAGAGGGGGCTCAAAAGCAGTGAAGTTAACCCTGCCCTCCATGCAAAAGCAGAGACAAAAAACAGGGACTCCTCCTCTCCAGAAGGGAAGTCAGCGTTCAGTTTTGGCCCCATCTTCTGCCACAGAAATTAACCTGCTGCCTGCTTTTCTGTCTGGCTGACCTGCAGCTTTGTACTGAGAGGATTGTTATCAAGTGTGCTTGGACTACTGGCCAAACAACACCTTTGGGATTTTAGGACCTGATGCTGGAAAGGCATGGTTCAAAGGTTGCAGAATATATTTGGTCCACATCAAAACCTGCTAAATGTTTAGCAAAGCTTTTATCCAACTCTTGCTTCAGATTTCTCCATCGCCTGCATTAAGCGAAATAGGCCAATAAATGACTGAAAATATAAACAATCATGGAAAGTATGTTTCTGTTCATGCAAGTCTTTCATTTTCTGAATTCTACATTTAAACAGAAAGTCCCCAACCCAGATGCTTTTAGATGCAGGTTGTGATTATTAGAGAAATAAAAGGCTGGTAACCCTAATCTTATACCATCGTTTTACTGAACATTTTATGCTGTTTGATCTAATTGTTTTCTAGATTTTGTAATCAGCCTTGAGTCTCAGAAAAAGGCAGGCTATAAATGAAGTAAGTAAATAATTCTATAGTAAAATAAAAGGAACCATCTATTTGTAATAGGCATAACACATTGGTAATCAACAAAGTTAGAGTCCAATGGCACCTTTAAGACCAACAAATTTTTATTTAAGATGTGAACTTCCATGTGCATGCACACTTTGTCAGACAATGAAATGGAATTACATATCATAGGCTCCGGTCACACGGCCAGGAAAATGTGGGGGGGAAGCGTAGCTGTTTGCCCCGAGGAAAAATAACGTGCGAGTGCGCGATCAGACCTCCCGTGGAGGACCCGTGGAGGGTCCGTGGAGGTCCTGTGGATAGGGGGAGGTGCGGATCACACGGCAAAGAAGCGGGGCCACGGGGCAAAGAGACGGGGGCCGAGAGCCGAGGGAAGGCGAGGAGGGGGCTGCCAGAGACAGCTGGCCAAGCGACTGGGGAGAGGAGGGGCCAGCTGCCGACTCCAGTGAGGCAGGCAGGGGGTGGGCAGTAGTTCTGTAAGGGCAACAGTCGGGGAGCCGTCTGCTGGGGCGCGCGAAGAGGGCAAAGCAGCATGGCTCAGCCCCCTCCGCCCTGACCGCGCCTCCTTCTCCGGTGGCCTGTCCTCGAGGCCACGGTGCCGCCCTCCTGAGCAGTGCCCCCCTTCCCCAAGTAGACGTCCTACTCTGCCGCCGCGCCCCCCCTGCTGGGCTTCTCAGCCGCTATATCTTCTGCCTTTCCCCCTTTCCCCCTATCTATTTGTCGCTTGCCTCAAGCCGTGAGCTCTTGGTTGCTTTCTTCTGGCTGCTCTCCTCTTCTCTGCACGACCCAAGTTGTGTGGTTTTTTTAAAATTAAACTAATGTTTGCACATGCTCCATTGTGTGCTTGTGCGCATCCGTGGAGACTTGGAAAAAAAACCCCTTTTAGCTAGGGGACATGGACGGGCGCCGGAACTACCTCCGGAAACGTGATCAGACGCTCGCCCTTGCTCCGCGGTTTCCGGATACTAGTACCTCAGAGGTACTAGTTTTTTGCCGCGCATCTTTGCCGTGAAGCCTCTGTTGTGCCACGGGAGCACTACGCTTCCCAGATGTGCCGGTGAGATCGCGCCCGGATAATCCGCCTGTCTTCCGTCTCTCTACCGTGGCTACTGTGCCGTGTGACCGCAGCCATAGTTGTTTATATATATAAGAATGACAAGCTTGTTTTTGATCTGTTTAAAAAATATTTTCACTATTCTGCATGCTAATTTAACAAGCTACCCCTACACACACACACACACAACTATGATATACAACTATGATATGTAATTCCATTTCATCGTCTAATGAAGTGTGCATGCACATGGAAGCTCACACCTTGAATAAAAAATTGTTGGACTCTAACTTTGATGTATTGCTTCAGACCAACACGGCTGCCCATCATTGGTAGCCATTATTGATTACCATTATCATTGGTAATCAAACTGTTAGGCCAGGTGACTAAATCAAAGGGGTCTATAATCTGGAGTTAGATTTAGGTAGCAGTGTTACTGGGTAGGATAGAGTAGGTTTAGCTAAGGACTGGCAGCGCTGGGAGATCTGTAACTTTTCTTGGTAGTACTCATAGTGGATATAAATGTTGTCAGCCTTGCTAGTAGGTCTGAGGCTTTGCAAAGACCACTAGAAACAGCAATGACGGGGCAGGGGATTCCAGTCCTCCTGGGGAGTATCCTTCCAGCCTGCATCCCATCCCAAAGGTTGCCAGTAGTGGGGCTAGGTTGAATGACCCCCCTCTGACATTGATGCTGTGTAATGCCAGGTCTATAAATAACCACGGTCCTCAAGGACTTCCTGCTTGAGTAGAATGTAGACCTGGCATGCATGACCAAGACCTGGGTTTGAGATGGGGAGACAGTAGCTCTCTCCCAATTGGCTCCCCTTGGTTTCTCGGTCCTTCACCAATCGTGGACTATGGGGCAGGGTGAAGGAGTGGCTCTGTTCATTTGGGAGGCTTACGCCTTCAGGGTGCTCCTGCCACCGAAGCTCACAGGCATTGAGTGTACTGGCCTAGTGTGGGAAGCCGGGGAGAATTTGGCTATTTGGTTGGTGTACCATCTGCCTAATGCACCAGTCACTAGCCTACCATCCCTGATGGAGGCTGTGTTGGGCTGGGCATTAGAGCACCCTAGACTGATAGTCTTGGGCAACTTCAATGTCCATGCCGATGATGTAGCCTCCACACAGCCAATGGAGCTGGTGTTGTTCATGGCGGTGCTAGGACACTCCCAACTTGTAACGGCCCCCACTCACCAGGCTGGGCACATGCTCAATTTGATCTTTGTGGTGGGGGTTACAGTGGACCAGATCACTGCTACAGCAGTGCCCTGGTTGGACCACCATGCCCTGAAGGCCCGTCTGAATGTTCCATCCCAACCCTGCTTGGGTGGTGAGCATATTTTAGCTTGCCTGCAGAGCCAAATGGTCCGTATGCAGCTTCAGATGGCTCCATGGAAACCAATGCCTCCTGGTGGCTTGTTGGATGAGCTTGTCAAGGATTGGCACAGTTGACTCTTGGCAGCCACTGATGAGATCTCCCCACACTGCCCTCTGCACCCCTGCTCTAAGATGGCACCTTGGTTTACCCAGGAGTTGCAGCTGATGAGGTGGAGACAAAGATGGCTAGAGAGACAGTGGTGACATGCCTGTGATGAAGCCACAAGAGAATCCTATAGGATGTTTATGATACGTTAGTCAAAGCTGCTAAGAGAGAGTAGTACGTGGCTATGACTATGCAAGCTCACACCCAGCCCCATTATTTAGGATGATTTGGTCTATGACTACTCTGCCACAAGGCAGATCAAATGCTAGGGAATCAGACATTGGCTGTGAGGCCTTTGTGAGCTACTTAGCAGATAAAGTCTTGTTGCTCTGCTGTGATCTTCCCGCCACAGTTGAGACAGTGAGTGATCTCGACGCTCCACGCACATCTTCTAGTCAAGTTATGGATTATTTCAGTCCACTCAGCCTAGAGGAAGTCGACAGACTACTCTCAACTGTACGCCTCACCACTTGATCCTTCATCCATGCCCATCATGGCTAATTAAAGCTGCCCGTGATGGGTTCCGAGGTTCCCTAAAGGAGATTATCAACAAGACCCTCTCAGAGGGATTGTTCCCTGGTTTGCCCTCTCCTGAAAAAACTATCCTTGGATCCGGCCAAATTGGCAAATTACTGGCCAGTTTCCAATTTGCCCTACTTGGGCAAACTAATTGAGAGGGTGGTGGTGATACAGTTGCAGAGTTTCATGGATGATGCTTCCATATTAGATCCCTTCCAGTCCAGCTTTCACCCAGGCCATGGGACAGAGACGGCACTGGTCACCCTCACGAACGACCTTCGGAGACACCTGTATTGAGGCAGATTGGCGGTGCTGTTGTTGTTGGACCTGTCGGCAGTGTTTGACACAGTTGATCATCAGCTACTGATCTACCACCTCACCAACACTGTGATTCAGCTTTCCCCAATGTTATTTAACATCTATAT